CGCCCCTTTTCGTTCTACCGCCCCCCTGAAAAATGCCCTGGGGGGCATTATTGCCCACATTAAGAACCACTGCACTAGAGTAGGTTCACTGAATCAGTGCAGGCTTAGTGAGTCAGCCCCTCCGTAAGTTCTGTTGATTCAAACAGACCTACTCAAACTGTGACTTATTATGCAAAAATAGGTCACAACTATAGTAACCCATTTGAAAAAAAATGGAACTTACCGAGAAGTGGGCGCACCAAATCCCCATTGATTCAGTGGGCCTTCCGCTGTGATTTATGATGCCAAGCAACAAGCTTTTGGCTGCTGGGTAATTTCAGACTATCCTCACTCTCACACCCTGACCTGCCTTACAGGTTGCTGTGAGGATATGATCGTGGGGAAGAGAGCTGGGTCTCTGCTTTGAATTCAGCAGAGGAAAGGTGGGAAATAACTGCAAGTAATAATGGTACCAATATAATGTCCAGATTTAGATGACCTGTCTTTGTCATACCTGTGGACTGCTTTTTCAGGATCATTTGGATACTTGAGCTGGTTCAAAATACATCAGGCTAGGATCTGCCAATCTAGGTATATGTTACTAGTGCTACCTTTCCTTGCTGTCTCACCTGTTTCCGGGTGTGGTTTCAAATGCTTTCGAGCTCCATATAGCTTTAGAATATAGTATCAGAAGAATGGTGTTTGCCTTACCAAGATGCTGGATCCTAAGATTTCCCCTGCTTCTCAGAGATCTGCTCCTTTGTTGGGGAGGAGACTGGTTACGCTTGAAAACAGTCATGTCTGTGTGGTAGGTGTCAGGTTTTGGCATTTGGTGTTAAGTGTTCAGTGTTGATCTCAAAGTGCGCTTGGGGTTTTGAAAGTTGTGTGTTTTCCTGGGCTTCTGATCTTTTCTACTGCTGCTTCAAAATGGATTTTATTCTTTAAGAAGACCTAAGGAATATGTTGGAATAGACTGAAGGCCTGCCTAGTGCAGCATCCTGTTTGTACAGTGGAGAACGAGTTAGCTATGGGATCTAAGGCTGTTTCTGATACTGGAGGTCGTACATGTACATCCTGAGCTGTGGCCATTCAGTTTATCCTCTTTTAAGCATTGTTCAGAATCCTACGGATGATATGCTCTTGTGTAAATGAAGTCACTTAAGTTGTCTTGGTGAATAGCTATGAATTAATGAGATGCTGGTATGCCTAGTTGCACAAAGGGCATGCAAGTAAGGATGTGACTGGGAACATATTAATTAGCAGCAATTCTCTGTCATAAATCACCACTAGGATTCTGACCATTGGCTGAAATCATGTTGTGTGGCTTCTCATGCACAGCTGGGGTGACACGTATGGTTTCAGGATGCACACAACTTGTACTCAATGAGATGAAGTCTCAAAATGTCCAAAGGAAACTACAACCAATAAGCTCTACCCTAGTGAGTTTACTAAATTACCATCCCAGTTCCCAGATGGAGAACTGAGGACTGTTCTGTGTCACCCTCCCCCTCTCTGGCCAAGCAGAAACATGTCCGTTTGGAAGAAAGGACAAATGGGGAGGTGTGTGCGCGCACATAACCTATGCTTCTTTGTTCAATGAATTGAGGGTTACACTCAACCCACAGCTGCCTCCGCTGTAACCACGAAACAGCAACCGTACTATTTCCTGTCTGACGTCTAAGACAGATGTGCCTGGCAAAATCTATCTTGCCAAGAACTTTTGGACTTAAAAGTTCTTCACACTGGTATATACCTGATGAAGAAGTTTTATTTGAAAAAAAATTCACGAAAACTCATGTATTGTATGATGATTTTTTAGTGGTTTGTAAAGATATTGCCTATTTTTGCATTTGTATTTTACAGCAGTGGTGAGGAGAAGTCTTTTGGCCCTGCAGGTCTTCTTTGGACTACAGCTCCCATAATCCCTGATGGCAGTGCTTTACTGCCTAGAGATGATAAGATTTGGGCTCCATATCACAAAGACCACAGACTCTTCACTCCAGATTTACAGGGTGGTTCTTCCTATACTTGAGGAAAAATATTTCTCAGAACTATAGCTATTACACATGGCCATTGCAGGATTCTGAGAAATCTAATCAAAAATATTAGTTTTTCTGAGCTTGGTTCTCTCACCGAAGGGAGGGGCAAAATGAATTACCAGATACTGTGTGGATCTGACTTCATTTAATATATATGATGTTGCCTTACACTGAGCATTGATGAGGGCTGATTTAAGAAACCACTTAAGACCGTGTTTTCCAACCTTGTGTCCCCAGAAGTTCTTGGACTAAAATTTTCCCTGCTGCCATCAAGTTACAGACTACCTAAAGCCACCTAGGATATTTGGATATATGCCACTGAAAATCCTGCAGGCATCTCCTCCCCTCTGCTATCAAGAAAACCCCACAAACAAACAAAAGGCAGCCATAATAACTTACATAACTGACCATTAGCCACCCTTTCATAACACTGCCTGAGGTGGCAACTTCATCCTCCCAATGAGAGGCAGACCTAATCATGTCTCTCTCTAGACCACTGTGATCTGCTCTGAAATCTTTCCCAAGTTCCCTGTGACTCCTCCAATGCGTTATCTTGGATCACTCTGTGAGGTTCATGCCTCATGAATATACTATTTGCAGCCTTCTGTTGAGTTTTTCCTGACCAAGCAGCATCTCCTCATAGGTGCGCCCTCTCATGCTTCTGTATCTTTGGGAGCAGTCTTATAAATGCATCCTGTCGTTTCAGGATGTCTGACCAGTGGTGACTAAATCCAGGGATTGTTCAGTCTTTCTTTGGAATTCTTTTCTTCTGGGAAGACTCCTGGTTTGTTTCCTTCTGACTTTTAAAATGCTTGTCTCAAAGAAAAGGTAGCTTTATTCTTCAGAAAATGTTGGGTCCCTCTCCCACTTTATTTGTGTTTTAAGTATTAACTTCATGATGGAATGCTTCGAGAAACTGTGCTCGGCTTGGTTGTTGAAATGTGAGAAAACGTTTTTGCAGCCACAGCCTCGTCTTTAGCTTGTTTATTCCTGGCTTACTCGTCCTGCCACTGCCATAACCACCATGTGTCAAATGGAAACAAAAGACGGATTTTTTTGTCAACAGTGATACCATGCTTCCAGAACTCTCTGCTGCTGGAGGTTGATGTCTTGATTGTTATTGTTTTTGCTGTTGTTTTTGACTTACATTCTGCCCTACAGTGATAGAGCACTCCATGGGCAGTTTACAACATAAACTTCCTGTTCCAGAAGGCTTTTAATTGAAATAACATCAACTGTGGGTCCTGATGGCAATTTTAATTGTATTTTAATTGTATTTTAATTATTTTATCTTTTATTGTATTTAATTGAATTTTAATTGTTGTAAGCTGCCCAGAGACCTTTGGATAGAGTGGGCGGCATGTAAGTTATATAAAAAAAAGTAAACGACTATTTGCCCACTAGCAAGATGGGTACTCATTTTACTGACCTTGGAAGGCTGATTCAACCTTGAGCTGGCTACTTGGACCTTTCAGGATAGAACTCAGGTTGTGAGCAGAGGCTTGACTGCAGTGCTGCAGTTGAACCACTGCACCACAGGGCTCATTTGCTTTAAAAAGTGTGCGTGTTTGTGTGCAATTACTTTATTAGAAAGGTACAGTGGTGCCTTGCTTTACGAGCGCTCCGTTTGATGACAAAATCACATTACGTTGAAGATTTTGTGATCACAAAAGCGATCGCAAAACGATGTTCCCTATGGGGAGAATTTCGCTTTGCGATGATCAGTTCCCTGCTTCAGGACCCGATCATCTCAAAGTGTCGATTTTCGGCTAGCTGATCGGCGGTTTCAAAATGGCTGCCGGGTGAAAAACTGGCCGCCCGCTGTTTTCTGGCACGGATTCCTCGCTGCACGGGCAGCAAAAATGGCCATGCTATGGAGAATCTTCGCTGGACGGTGAGTTTTAAGCCCATAGGAACGCATTAATTGGGTTTTAATGTGTTTCTGTGGGCTTTTAAAAATCGCATGATGACGTTTTCATTCAACAGTGATTTTTTGCAGAACGAATTAATGTCGTCATGTGAGGCACCACTGTATAAAAAAGCACTGAGTTTTGTGATTTCTTAATTTTGTATGTGCCTCCTCCCTCTCCCCCAATTCTAAAAGCCTTAAATGGCTTTTCTAAGGCTTAGTTTTTCGAAGTAATAACGTTTTGGTTAGAAAAGTCTGTTCTTTCTGCCCCACTCATCTTTGAAATGTGGCCCAGTGGAATTCTGTGGAACTGAATCAAACCCCAGGGCTGAAAGAGCTCCTCTTCCCCACCATTGGCTGATTCCTTCTGAAAGTGAACCAGATAACATCATATCAAGTAATGGAGGAACAAAATGGGGCCACCTAGAGAGGAACACCTGACTTTGCATATTTGGGAAAGTTATTTCTTGGTCTACAATTCCCAGATGTCTCAGGAGGGCCAGT